GCCAATTAAAATGTGTAAACATTTCTAGATATATAAAACTTAATTCTTACTTGCATAATTTTGTTTTTTTTACTTTCTAAAATTCAGTTTACAAAAATTTGATTTAGAAAATATATCATTACAGTTAGGTGTTGGAGTGTGATTTTGATCAGGTAGAATCTTATTTTAGTGATCTACAGTAGAAATGTAACAACAGAGAGGAGAGTGCTTTTAATAAATGTAAAAACGGCCTGCCATAGTCCACTTCATATAAACTTACGCATTAATTGGAGCAACAATCTTCTCCTTTGCAATCTTCCTCTCCTTTGTAGCTGTAGAGCTGTTTCTCTGTCTTTTAAACATACAGTATTCACCTTTGTTATTAAATTTTTTTTTGCATTTCTGTATTAAAATCTCTAGTTCCAGTGGGGTGAAATATGCATCTCCTGTTGCCTGTTGTCATGGTTACTCGTCGAATCGGTGCTCCAGTCATAATGGTTTTTCATACTTGTTGCGCATGAGCTTAACTCTTAGTGGACATAGTTAAAATTGATTGAACTAACTGAACACTCAGAGTTCCTGACTTTAAGCTAGATCAATTTAGAGTTGCGAATTTGAATCTGAGTTTGTTACACCTGCTTCATGAAATGGACCCCTGATGTTTCCATAAGCTGAGATGCATCTTTGATTGTGGCTCTCCTACCGGTAACCAAGCCTGTCAGTCTAGCTGGCTGGCCAAACCATTATCGGTGATTCTGTTGTACCTTTCTCTTTGTATTTTAGAACAAAAGGTTGAACTGAGCTCCGATCTCTGATTTAAAATGCTGGGATAATGCTTTATAAGGTAAACGTACTTAAAACTTCTCCACAACCTTAACCCCGCGGTGATCCTTGGTGTTTGTGCTGCCGTTTATTCACTGATATAAACCAAAAGTTTGTATTGTCCACATTAGAATTTTCTCAAAGAACTTAGCAAGGTTAAAAAGTGTACTTTGATTTAAAATTATTCTTCCTATATACAACGATTTACAATAAACAAAAATATGAATGCAACACTTTTGGTTTTAGGTTTTTTCTAAAACTTTTTTCACGTACCCAATATTACCATTTCCCCAAAATTTTGTTCACAAACCAGTCTAAATTTGTAATAGTAAGCACTTCTCTTTTGCTGAGGTAATCCATCCTACCTCATAGGTGTGCCATAACAAGATACTGATTATACACATTGATTAGTGCATAGGTGTGCCTTAGATGACAAATATGTTATACTTTTTACATATGGATGCATTACTTTAAAGGGATGCTCTACTCTATATCCTAATGATCAATGGATTCATGTTAAAATTACATTAAAAAAAATTATTTGACATACATCAAATTGGTGTCAAAAGATTGATGTCAAGTTTATTTAAGTTTTGTGAGTAAATTATGATAACAATTTCATAGCAGTGTTTGATATTTAACTGACATCTTTTGCCCAATGGATATGTATTTATCACAGAAAATATCAATAAAACGCACTGCAGTGAATTACTAATATGTAAATATTGGTCCTAAGGCCAAGTTTATTGTTGCAGAAGCTCTTTAGTTGTTTACATGCATTCCCTTGACAAATAAATACAATTGAGAGGAAAAATCAAACCTATGTAACTACCTGGGTTAAGCTTTTACTTGTTGTGATTTGCTGTTTTTAGATCTGCAAATATTTGTAAAACCTAATGTACCTTTTCATACCAAACTGTAAAAAACGCTGGAAAACCAAACTAAAATAATATGCGCTTTCAAAGACATGATTAGAAGCCATTACTATTGTTCTCACCTGGGCTGATCTCCACCTGTTCACGCCCTTCAAACCCACCGAGGAGCGACATCATCCTCCCGTCCCAAGATGATGTCATTTCCTCCCACCTAGCCGTATAAGGGCGCTGCTATTGCGGTGAAGTGTCAGTAGAGAGACCGGGGGGGACGGGTAGCTGCCAGCTTGCTGGTGTAATAAAAAAATAATTCAGCTCTCCAGAAATACCGAAAGACGACCAAGTTTTTTTTGCACAGAATGCGTCCGTGATTCGACGTCTTATCTCCAAGATTCTGTTAAAAAAGAAAAATCCAAGCCAGAAAAGAAAGCTTCGCTGTTTTGCTTTATTCCTGGAGAGCTTAATTCACCTCGTATTCAACATGATCGGGAGAGGACTGCTTATTCTCACTATTTTGTCCAACTGCGGTAAGAAATACATGATAATCCTTACTGAAAGATCCCTTCTTTAAAAAAGACGTTGCTGCAGAGGTTCAGCACCAAGGACAGCGACAGGCGGCGGGTCTCCAATCAGACACGGAGTGAATCCAGCGGCACCTTGCTCACATTCAGCCTTGATACAACCTTTGTTTTCTAGATACACCTGCTGTTAAAACAGCTCCATAGAGATGGTTTTAAACACAACCCGTTTCTTTCTTGTCTTGCAGTTCTGTCATTGCCGGTGACTTCAAGTCAGCTGGAGAATGAGGACGTAGAGGTGAGATAATCTGACAGTATCTGTGATAAAAACAGGGATTTACATAACACATCTAGTAACACTTTGTCTGTATTTCAGACTTAAAAAAAACCCTAATTTTTCTAATTTGAAAAATGACCCAATGTTTCTGCGTATTACTCTGCAAAGCTGTGCAGTAATAGACTTACTTGATCCTTACAGTTCAACCTGAAGCACCTTAATCACAAAATCTATACATACTAATTGGGAGCTTATATGCGCACTGAATAGCAGGATTTATGTTGTCATGAAATTATCTCCCAGAGCAAAGGTATTTTCTTCAAGAATAGGAATCTTACAATTGAATAAAATAAAAGAAAACAGCCTAGATGAGGAGTTCATTAGTCTGGAATATAACCAAAGACAAGGAGTATGGGGCTTATTAGGGGCATTTCTGGTGCCTTAGTTGTCCTTGCTGCTCTTGGTTGTGAATCAGGCTGAAAAAATGTTCTACTGTAAAAAGAGCTAGAGGCCATAAGAATATCCAAAGGCATTCTAGTAGATGGGTAAAAATAGCAAGAAATCCATTATTTTACATTGCAGCTCCAATAAAATCTGCTAGACATGTTCTTTTGAACCAAGCTTGGTCCACATCCAGGGAGCCTGGAACTAATTTTGAACAGGGGTGCTGTAAAAATCTCTTCCTGTTTTGGACAAAAGTCCTATTAGCCTATAGGCCTTTGTAAAATAAAATAAAAAAAAAGAGATAATCAAATAGATTGAGATTCAATTTCAGTTTATTTATATAGCGCCAATTCCCAACATGTCATCTCAAGGCACTCTACAGAAACAATTCAACCAGATCATACAGTCAAATTGATTCAAAGTTTTCTATCTAAGGAAAACCAGTTGATTGCAACAACTAGTTGACTTGAAGGCAATCCCTCACACCAAACATGCTTTTAGCGACAGTGAAGAGGAAAACTCCCTTTTAACAGGAAGAAACCATCTGCAGAACCAGGCTCAGTGTGACCAGCAATCTGCCGAGGCCAACTGGGGTTCAAGGAGACAGAAGCAGACATACAGAAAGAGGCAGAGATAAAAAGGAACTTGTCAACATTTTCCACAGGCAGCCCCATCCAGGAAACACACACCCAGATTGACTACTTTGTCATATATACTTCAGTGCATGCAACCAGGGTCTGTAACACAAAGAAAAAACTCTGTTCTCAGGTGAATATATGAGCTCTTAATTAAACTTCACAATAACAATATAACAACATGGATTTGGTCAGCTGGCATGAACCGGAGTCACTGTGATCATGTCACAATTGACTATTAACTCCAAAATCCTTTTATGCAAACCACAAGGAAATAATTATATTGTTATACTATTTAAATGATATTGAACAGTTTGCCATTACATAAAGAACACAAGATCAAAATAAAACTCTAAAAATGCAATGGTTACTTTAAACTGCATGAATAGATATGAATGTGGGAGGCAGCACCATTCTCTTATTTTGAGCTACAGGCAGGGTGTTTTGCCTAGTTACAGGTGTCCAAATGTTCAGGTGCGCTCTGGGGTGGTGGCGATAAAGTCTCTCATGAGCGGAAAAATTCGAAATGCATTTCTGTGCCATATGTCCTCCTTGTTTCTGTCATTAGATTATAATGACATTTACTAGTCTGCTGTCGCAACAGGGATATCATGCTCTAGCTTGCTTGACCTTTCCATGACAACGTAACTTCTGTGAATTTGTGTTGATTAGGCCTTAAAATAATTAAAATAAAATCTAAATAATGTAACAGTAAAATAAAACATTTATAAGAAGTTTATAAATTTTGCTAAGTATTTTTAATACATTTTTTTAAAGTCTCCCTCTCGCCACTGCTGCAGCACCCCCACTTCCCGCGGCCATGTACTCATCAGTTATTTTTCCTTCTGCCTTAGTCACCATCACCTTAAAAAAACTGATAAAAGCAAACAAACTGGCCAGAATTATATTAGGTAATACATTTGGGCAAGAAATAATTTGAAACCAAGGGGAAAAAATAAGAATCTGAAAATAAGAAACACATTTAAGTAACAGAAGAGAAAAACATTAAAATTATTTTTTGTAAAAAGAAACAATATAATTGCAGACTTTTAAACAACCTACAGAGAACTATACATTCAGACAATGGCAGTTAATGTCTGAGTAGTTTAAAAGGTGTAATTATTAAGTACATACAATGACCTTTATTGGTATCAGTAGACTAAATACATATTTAAAGATCGTTTGTAAATCATTTATAGCAATTATTATTGCACTATCCCTCCCAACAGAATGTCTCCAGAATAGGCATCTCTTTTTATTGCTATTTTCTCATAAGCAGTCCTTGCCTATATTGATTAACTCATTTTATATCTTCACTTTTTGCTTTGATTATTGTATCATGATACAGAAGGGAACTAGGTGCAAAGATAATGTTCACATGAACTGTTTTAAAATGTTTTAGGATTGCATCAATTTAAGAAATGCAATGTTGGATGCACCCTAAATAGCTTTTAGTTTAATCCAAAACCTGTGATAGCCTCACTGTTCTTTTTTTTGTTGTTCTTTTAGATCGACTCATTCACCTACTTCATTTAAAGGTCTTGGTCATTCAGTGAATCTTGGCTGCATATGACTCAGCTCTGAGGAAAATTTTTATCAGCAGCACGAAGGATTTACACTCATCAGCAAATGGTTTTCATTTGGCAAAAGATCATGAAAAATGAATACAGTTGGAGTGATAAATATATAAATAAATCAAGGGAGTATTAAACTGCACAATGTTCTGACTTCCAGATGCTTCTTGCTGTGTCAATACTACATTTCACCTAAACAAAAAGAATATCTCAAGATTGTTTTTTATTGTTTTTGTAGTTTTCTTACTAATCTTACTAAGTGGTGCTGGTCACAATATTTTTGTTGGTATATTACATTTGTTTGCATAAAAAAGAGGATCTAGACAGCTATCTTCTGTATGCAAGATACTGACCGCAAAGAGCAAAAGTAAATGTTTTTAAGCCTTAAATTTTCATCATCCACAGGTGATGAAATGCATTGTTGAGGCATTGGCGGATGTACTATCAAGACCGAAGAAAGTTCCTGTCAGTCAGGAATGTCTAGACACCCTGAAAACTGGTAAGTTAATAGAAAATAAACACTTCTGGTATGTTGACTGTGAAATGCAAGGAAGAGTTCTTTAAGCAATCAGCAGTTTCTAGCATAAAATTAGCATTTAAAAAAGTCTGCATCACTGAAATGGTTTGTGGGCTTCTATCAGCTGCAGTGGGTTTTTAAAACTGATCAAAAACCCTGTTAAGATGCTATTTTTTCATATTAAAACGTTATTGTAAAATTTTAAAAACCTTTTCCAATTAGTTTTGTCCTTAACCATGCATTATAAAGAGAAAGACATGAGTCTATAATTTTCCTTGTCCTTGCTAGGCAATATTTGCTCACTTTGACTCAGCTGGATCTGACTGTGACTCATGTCACAGTCCTCTGAGGGTGACCATCAAATCTGTAAGATTAAGTTCTGGATGGGCCCTTCAAAGATTTTTTTCCAATGAAATCCTCCTAAGGTTTTGTAATCAACATGCATAAAATTCAAACCCATTTTCATATTTAGATTTCTGATAGACTTCTGATGGCATGGGTTCTAAACTTACTTTTTATGATTTCAACTACTTGGAAAAAAAAGCAACCTCCAACATGTCTTAGAACAGAAATGGGGTTCTTTGGGTGTGGCTCATTGTACCAGACTTTTTATAATTATGGCTCAAATTCTCAAGTTTAGTTTCATCAGAACATTTTCTTGCAAGGTTTTGGGAGATGTAAGTCCAGGCGGCTTGGACGTGTTCCTTCAAAGAAAGGCTTCTATATTTAGCCCTACTTCTTTGTCCAAAAAACTGGAAAAAATGTTAGGAACTACTGCAAGTCCTTTAGTGTAAATGAAAGTCTCTTCAGATACTCTCTAAACCTATATTTTTATTAATTTTGGATAAATGCATATTTTCTATATGTCACTGTTGTCTAACATTGTCTCCAATTATTACTGATCTACCAACCTTGTGAACACACCAGTGGACACAGTGTTTATGTCTCTAAAATGAGAACAACTGCAGGTGCCAGAAATTAGCTTATCTGTTGATCATCAGAACATGTAAAATAGTTGGAATAGGATATGCTTAAGTATTTGCTTACCACCTGCATTAAATAGAATCAAACTTGAAATAAATTGCAAGTTAAGTTTCTGCACCTATATTTAGCAAGTTTGAAAGTCAGTTGCAAGCTCAAAAATGTTAGTGGTCATTATTTCGAAATGGTTATTTTAGAGACATATTGTGTGTTGAACTGTACACCATCACAGCTATTAACATATTTTTCTAGTGTACTGTCCATTTTAGAGGTGGGGTACAGTGTGGTGCCACTTTTTGTTTTTCCACAAATACTTTTAATTAAAATGATCATTTTAAGTCCCTGCAATAGACTGGTGACCTGTCCAGGGTGTACCCTGCCTCTTGCCCATTGATAGCTGGAGATAGGCACCAGCACCCCTCGCCACCCCAACAGGGATAAGTGTGACGAAAAATGGATGGATGGATCATTTTAAGTGAAAAAGAAGCTTGTGACAAATAATGATTTATGTGAGATACTCCAGTGAAAAAAGCAGATTCATCTTTGTTACAAAGGAAAAAAAAGTATATTGTATAATGAAATAAATAGCTCTTCTCCTTATGTTTCTATTGTATGGCCAATCAGTGGCAATCTGTGGTGCTGAAACTCACTGTAAATCTGCAGTAGCTACTTTCCTCTTTTTCTTGTTATCTAAGTTTTGAATTATTAATGATGAATATTTGTAAGAAAATATAAAACGGGCATTTCGTCCACTGTTATGCAGCTAAACCATTTCTTGTTCTCTTTGTAAACTAAATGCTGTAAAATTTCTT